TATATATATTTCTCTTACACGGCGACAAAAAAAAGCCTCATAACAACTCCCCGAATGGCAACGCTAGAAAATCGACCAATGATTGCCGTTAAAAATGTCACATGCCAAATCTGGCTGAGGTGGCTCAACATATAGCGCTTTTAAAAACGGAAACTGAAATAACCAGAGAGAGCATTCCCACCAAGTGTGATCTGCTGATGACAACCTAAACGATATGGAAATGAATGGGGGAAAACTGGATCCTACCACGTGATTTTCCGGCCAATAAAAATGCGCCGACAACAATGGAAAACGGTGTCAGACCATTATGATTTTATGTTATATAGATAAACATTTTCCTATAATACTAATTTTTTTTCTTAAAAAAAAAGTTGTTATATGGATTTGAATGATTGTTTTGAATTCTTAGAATTTTGTGCATTTGCAATGTACCTAACTTAGTAGCGAGCGAAACGAGCTTGGTTTGCGAAGCAAACTAAATAAGATTGCGTAGCAATTTTCGGTGGTTAACGAGAGTTAGCGAGCAGGGGGCGCAGCCCCCTAGTTTTAAAAAATGTTGTAAGAGCTAATCATTAAAGTAAGCTATGTAATTAATAAACAAATTAACAAAGGATAACTGAAAAAAAAATATAAAAACAAAATAACAAGGGATAACTAACAAAAATTAAGCTAACAATTAATAATTAGCAAAAAAACTAGTTAACAAAAAATCACAAAAAAATAACTGTTAATTTAAAAAAAAAGAAAACTAACAGTTAATAACTATAGCAAACAAGCTAACAATTAATAGTTGTTACTAACAAATAAAAGATTGGTCGAAAGAAATAATTAATCCCTTAATAAATGTGCTTTTGTAGTACATATTATTTTATTTCACATTCAAAATTATTATCACAAACTATTTAACACAGTGTAAAATAGGAAATTAAACAAATTTTAATCTAATTTTTTTCATTGTGTGCCGTCAAATTTCGAAATCGTTAAAAGTGTGCCGCAACAAAGAAAAAGGTTGAGAATCACTACTCTATGATATCCACTGCTCTACATTATTCGCCGCGTGCTATTAACCTGCAATACTGTCGACCGGGCCATTCCATTCGTAACGCTGTATCGGTAAACTAATAAATAAGGAATAAAATAAAATTCATCTTAAAATAAAAAATTTTATGTTAAAATAAATTAAATGCTTTAAAAAAGACATTTTTTAAACAGACTAAAACGGAGAAAGTAACTTCATTTTTGTCACACCTAAAACGAAAAACGCAGAGCGTATCATTCAAAAGACGTGGAGAGAATTTTTGGTAATAGAAGTTCATTACAGGGGGTGGACAAAGTAATGGAAACACTTTCTATACTAATACATTTTTTTTTCATATTTCTCAACAAATACTATTTCTCAAGAAATACAAGAAATATTTTATAACTTCAGAAGTGTTTGCATCATGCGATTTCTCATACTTATCAATGCAGTTTCAAATCTTTTAGACATTTGAAGGACAGACAAAAAATGACAAACGGAAAAAAAGCGTTTTTGAAAATAGTGTTATGTGCCAAAAAATGTAGCAAACAATTTGTAATTTCTAACAACTATTTTCGTTATTATATGCAATAATTGCATAGAATTTCGTAAGCCTAGCTTAAATATTTATCGACATATGGACATTTTTATAAAATAAAAAAAAAATTGTGCCTTATGTTTTTTTTTCTTCTTTTTTTTTCCTTTTTTTTTGCTGTAACTTTGAAAATACAATAAAGTTAAACACAAGTTTTAGAACAATTCAAAATTAATAATTAAATATTTGAGCTAGGTTTACGAAATTCTCAGTAATTATTGCATATAATAACCAAAATAGTTGTTACAAGTTATAAATTGTTTGCCTCATTTTTTGCCGCTGAATGTTCAAAAATACTATTTTCCATTCGTCATTTATTGTCAGTCCTTCAAACCTCTAAAATATTTAAAACTTCATTGATAAGTATGATAAATAGCATGATGCGAACACTTCTGATGTTATGAAATATTTCGTTTAGTATTTCTTGAGAAATATGAAAGAAATGTATCAGTATAGAAGTGTTTCCATTATTTTATCCTCCGAAAAATTATTTTATCCTCCATACGAAAGCAATATCGGTAATAAAACAAAGGACGCATTTGTTTGCAACAGTAAAGAAACAATACTGATATGCATTATCATCAGGCTGAATTCAGTTTCAAAAAATTCAATGAGTGAGAAATGAGTTGAAATTTTTATTGACGATAAGTACCTTATTGTAATAAATTCTGCTTGCAGTGCCGCTTAGAAACGATTTAAAATTATGTCTCATAGTGTCATCCAGCACGAAACTCTGATTAAAATTTAAGCATCCTTGCCAGTCGGAAAGTGGTCAAAATTTTTATTAACAGTCAATTTTCTTTGACGATTATCGGGCGAATAATTCTGATCGTAGTGATCAGGAAACGTTTAAAACTTGTACTAACATCTCGTAAAGAGCTTCAGACGCAGTTTGAGTAAGTGAGATATTGCGATAGACTATGGATGATAGAGTATTTGACACCAAAATGGCGATACATTCTGCAGGAAGTGATCGGACGATTGAAATTTGTATTTTTATCGTGCACGCATCTCCAATTTGAAATCTGAGAGCTCCCACAAGTCGGAAAGTGGTACAAATCTCAATGGCAAGATGATAAACACAGAAGAGTGAGTAAAAATGTTGTTGAAATGAATGGATAAATTTTTGCAAGAAATTCTAGCTTTTATAAAAACCTCTCCTACAAACAAGCAACCCACCATTTCCTAAGCCTTTGACACAGATTTGGACCCTGGTGTCCCTGTATATCATTTTTTATCTATTAAAAAAGTCGAATAGTTGCTAAAAAATATGTTAGATTATCAGAATCATATTTGTACTGACATATAAAACGCCAAAAAATTAGTAAGAATTGTTTTTATATTATTTATTTATTTATCCTGATTCAAAAATGGATCAATAATTGATTTCGTAAATTGAAGAAAATTTAATGATAAATACATATAACTGCAAATAAGTGCAAATTTGAAAAATTATTGTTTGGAAGTAAGCCGTGTTTGGAAGATTTTTACTTTAACGTAGAAAGGGACACCGGAGTCTCAAGCTATATTATTAAATATTAAATTGCGAAATATAATATTTTTCACTTACCTAAAGTAATACAAATTAATGAAAAAGTATGAAAAATATGCTTAACGAAATTTCTGCGTCAAAGGGTTAAAAGCAGTTCTAATTAATAAAATTTGTCGAATAATGTTTGAGGAAAAAAACGATTATACGTTTATTTTTAAAAAAAAGTGCTTCAAATTATAAAATGCCTTGAGAGGTGATGAATATTAGATCCCTAATAATTACCTATACACTGATTTTATTTTATTTTATTTT